CGTCATAGTAGCATAACGTGATCACGTACGTGTAAATTTTGCATTGCGTGACATATCGCGTCACGTACGTGTTCCACGTCAAAATTTGCCTCATACACACACATCCTCGGCTCCTCGCTGTTGCGTGATGGATTCGCCATGTGTGTGTACTCGTCTTCGTCGTCGTCGTCGTCATCGTTGTTCCATCGCAATGGATTCGGCATGGCTATGGGATTTGGTTACTGTTACAGAGTGCTATGCATATCTCCGGATGCGTGAGGACTGGAGGAATAGAAGCAGTAGCAGTAGCAGCAGCATTAGCAGCAGCAGCATTTCGATGAATTCCTCTGCAGCAACAAGTCTGTTAACGGCTGAACGAACTACAAGCAGTAGCGGTAACAGCAACAATAGCAGCAACAGCAACAGCAGCCGAATTATCGCATCACCGAACAACAGTAATCATCATCATCGTAATCATCCACCAACTTTATCACTATTAGATAGCAGCAGCAATAATCATCTTCTCAGCGATTCCGAATTTCCATCACTGGGCGTCCGCTCCTCATCTTCGTCAACATCCACGCCGTCCACGTTCGGCGGCGGATCCTCGTTACCGACAACCAGCAACTATTCATCATCACCACCTGTACAGCAGCAGCAACAGCAAACCAACCATCATCATCATGCATCGCCCTATACAACGAAGGATGTCTACCATGCGCTCCAGCGGGCCCCATATGGTTAGTCCCGGTATTTTTTTTTTTTGGCATCTATGCAATGCAAAAACTCATATTATCACTGGGTTGTCTATATATATATGTGTGTGTGTGTTTGTGAATGTGTGCGTATGTGTGTGTGTGTTGTATATGTGTTTGTATATATGTGTAGATGTGTGTATTTGTTTGTGTGTATGTGTTTGTATATATGTGTATATGTGTGTATTTGTTTGTGTGTGCATGTGTTTGTGTGTGTATGGTATTTGTGTATGAATATGTTTGTATGTGTGTGTGTTGTGTTGTGTGTGTGTGTTATGTTATGTTGTGTGTATATTTGTGTGTTGTTTTATGTTGTGTTGTGTGTGTGTGTGTTTTGTTGTGTTGTGTGTGTGTTGTATATGTGTTGGTGTGTTTGTGTATATATGTGTATGTGTGTTTGTGTGCATGTGTGCAATTTATGTGTGTGTATGTATGTATGTGTATGTCCGATACAAATTGTTTTGTATATAAGAAGCATACGAGCATCGCTGTATATAAGAAGCATATGAATTGTCGTTGTTGAAATTTAACGGATTTTGAAATTCC